AACAGAGGACGCTGTTGCACAAAACCGATAAGATGCTAACCATGGCACTATGTAAATATTACGAAAGCCAACAAACATATTTAAAGACCTAAGAACGCGAGCAAAGAACATTTGAGAGTGTGCATTGAACATCCTCGAAGGAAACGTTTCGATAACTGTGGCACACGAAAAACGCTTACGTAGACACAGTAGCGTTCTTAGAAAGCTCGCAAAAGAAAAAATTTATCCGTCGTCAAAGAAATTTATCATCGCCTAACAGGGAGGAAGTTTCTTACCTGCTTTTTTGGGCCTGCTCCTCAGAACTGTGTTGTTGATGCTGTAACAAACATGTAGCACGCAAAAAAAATGATTTCTCTGCCTTAAAATGCGTGAATCGATTGCGAAGCGCATTCCTCAATGATGGTCTAAAGTCTGTGCAAACGCCGGGTATTTGAATGATATTGAAAGACGTGCAAGAACAGCTTACGTCAGGGGTTGCGAAAAGTGGTACGATTTACATAAAATAGCTCTTTGTCAAATTATAAATTTGAAGTACGAGATTAAGAGTCCATCTTTAAAAGAGTTGTCATCGGAAGTGTATTGTATGGATGACGCATTAAAACCAAATCATCAAAAATATCAATGTGCCTTAAATAACGCTCATAAACTGAGATCTTGGCTCTGCAAATGTAATGGATATCCTACAGATACTGCAGATCCTGTCGCAAATCAAAACGCATACCACCGGTGTGTTCCCAGTCAATCAGATCCTACGGGTGTGGTCAAAACCCGCAGCACTCGTCATTAACACTGATGATCACACAAAGCGAGGTATGCATTGGGTTGCTATATAGTTAATGCACATTCCAATGACTTATATTTCGATAGCTATGGTATTTAACTTTATGTACCACCGCACATTAATCGATTTCGTAAGAATTGTAAGAAACTACGTTAGAATGTGAAACAGTTACAAAGAATATCTCCAAACGTATGTGAATAGTTTCGTTTAATGTTTTTGTTTAACATGAGCAACGGCTTGGGTTTTTAAAAATTTCTCAATAATTCTTTCACTGGTTTAAAAAAAAGACGAAATTTCCAGACATTTTATTTTATTGTGGTGTAGCAAGAAAAATTTGAAAAGCTTGGTTTCAGGTGGTTGTCGTTGCCTGGTAAAATGTTTACAAAAAAGTTTGAGTAAAATGTCCTTGATATAAGTGCATTTATGAATATACTTGTAATTTACCGTTTGAACATTCTTGAACGTTTAGTAACAAATACTAATGTTACCGTATTATGAATTCCAAAAATAAACGCTGTTAGCGTTTTGTTATCTTATCTCTGAATGTTTGTAGTTTTTAAGCAATTTAATACTCAGCGGTGTTTTATCCACGTGCAATACACGATCACACTTGTGTCAATTAACGTTGTCCTGAATGTGTTGCTGACGCAATTTTTCATGCTACAACGTCACTAACTACCACAAAACGTCTTTCACAGTGATTCTTTCAAGCTACGACTTGTATAAAAAAGTCAGTTTAGTCGTTAGTTTCTAACTGATCGTCATATCGTCAATACAATTAAACAGAAAAATGGAGTTTCAGAAAAAAAGGGTTGGGGAGTCGGTAGCAATCGATCTTTTAAGCGTAAAGCAGTATTAAAATTACCTTTGCATATTTTTTGCAAGCTTTATGGGCTTAATAAATCATTTGTCAAAAAAGCTGTAGTTGGTCAGAAATAAAAGAAATTACTTGATGACGATTAGGAACGTGTAGTTTGTCTATTAAGCACATATTTTAAAGGAATTTCTTTCAAAATTTCGGATAGAAACGAATTTAAATTGACGTTTACAGATATAAAGAAGTATTTTACCACAAACGACAGCAACTTACAGGACATCCAAACTTATGGCTCCAACTAGTCCCTGAAGCTTACTGTGAGTTATAACGATAAGGCTATTGAGCTTGAAGAAGAATGAAAACAAGGTACGAGTGGTAGTGTCACGAAGCAATACCGTCGTTTTTTAGTTCTAAAAAAGGTGACCTTTGATTATTTAAGCGAATTTTTTGTCAAATGTATTGAGTGATTTGTCAGATTTAATGCCTACTGTTGTGCAGAAATTTGTAGATTATACTTCAGAAAACGGTTGTCATATGTATGAAGCACAAATTTATTACTATAGACCTGATATTGTACAAAAAATTGTAAAAGATATGAACGATTCAGATTTAAAGAGTATGTATGAAAGAGTCGTGTCGACAGATATGACGAAATGTGAATATTTAACAAAAGAATATGTGTGCGATTTTATTTGCAATATTACGTCATTTCATACGTTTGGACTTGTAAAAGCCTTAAATCGATAAACAAGTTAATAAATGTAACTACTTACATTTGTTGTTATTTACCTAAAATTCACACTACATCTTTATAGATTACATTTTACCTTCATCTTATGAAAAAAAATTATGTTTAAAAATACTTTGGACTCTTCTTATTAGAGACATCTATTATTATAAAAAGAATACCCATACAAAGCAAGAGAAAGAAAGAGAAAGAAAGAAATTCTAATCTCTCTAGTAACTAAAAAGTGGGGAAGCCCTCTCTCCAAGCATAAAGTTGGAAGGAGAACCCAACCGTGGTGGGGGTATGTTCCCCACCCTGCATGCCTCGTCTTTACTTATCATGGAAAGCCTTTACGTAGGTGGTGGGAGTTTGTTGCGATGGGCCAAAGTGTTGCAACAACCACTCTTGTGTTCTAGCCTTAACTTTTTTTTCCTGGTTACATGTGTGCACCACATTTATATGACTCTTGAAGACGTATGAACTTGCTAACTAAATTTTCATACTGACTCAGCTAATTTCTATAATGTGTCGTTAAATCCTTACGTGCCGTCAGTGTCCTTTCGACGAGTTGTCTTGACACCTGCATGGTAAATTAATGTTCTTAGGAAAAAATTGTTTACATACATTAAATGAATAAATTAATGTTCCTTTTCGTTGGATTCTTAGGAAGTTTTAATTATGTATAATTACAGTTTGTTAATGCTAAAGAGGCCATCAGCATGACGGTGAAATATTGATCATATGTATTAATGATTACTTAAATAAATAGTCATGCTCTAAAATAGTAGATTTTAGAATTAACTATTATTCATGATGACAAAGGAGCCAGTGAAAGGAGTTCATAGATATGTTTTTAATTATTACGTTATATTCAAATGGATTGCCGAAAATTCATTTCAAAATTTGTCAACTTATAAGTCACACTTGAACTTCTATTTGGTATTTCTGTTGTCACAAATGCAAGCATTCATAATCACTGATCTAAAATCTCAATCGTGCTTATTAAAAAAATGGAATTGTTACTGTTGTGTTGTGACTTTCTAATACGTGAAATCTTAACATAAAACATCATCGTACAGGCCTACTTTTTTTGCAGTCAACACAGTTTGTAAATAGTATTATTTTGCAAGAATATCACTTATTGGTTGACTTAATTAAGTCAAAGGCCTCTTTTATTTGATCTGACAATATGACAATATAAAAACACACGATCAAGAGAAAAAGTTACTTATTTCACGTCTTTTACCTGTAATTTCAAGTTTGACTTCACTCTCGATTTCCATGTCCCACAAGCACTTTGTACACGTAAGGTATAACTTGTTAGCTGAGACAACATTGGTGTATTTCAAGGACATCAATAGTCTCGGATAACGCTAAGAATCAAGGTACAGTGAAGGAGACCAACCAAAAGTGGTTCCGGTGATAACAGAAAAAACAGAAATCGTAAACTCTTCTTTTGGTCCACGAACGCATTCGTACGAATTTCATGTAGCTTAAGAAATTACTAAGAAATACTGTACAAAGCACTATCGAATACTGAAGCAGCAATAACATCCATCAGTAATAGTGTAAATTGGTTAGAAGTAACATAATTAATACAATACCTTAGTAAACTGACCCAAATAATTTGTGCTTCTAAAGACACCCACGAACGGCACTAAAATTAAATATTTAGAGCCGTACTTCAAGCAAGTCCAGTCATAACAGTTCTATAAAAACTCCTAAATAAAAAACATAAGCTTATCGTATGAAATTTAGTATATTAATATCATGAGAACACTAGTTATGAAATTGCAAAAACTGTCTAATTTGAATTAATATAAACTGATCTTTTAACCAAAGAGATCTCATAAATAGAGTGGGAGAGAGTAAAGTAATCTTATCCTAACGGTAGAAAAAGAAAGAAATGAACATATCTTTGACCCCACCCTAACCTATCTTCTAACTGGTTATTATAATTATGTGCATTTAATAAGTTAAAACGAAAGAGTTACAAGAAAATTGTTATTTTTTTTTATATTTACCCCTGGGCAAATTTACGTACACCTAGGATTTCTCTACCAGATTAAATCACACCGAAACTTTGTTTAAAGTAGCACGACCTCAAGTTTGAAACAGGACTTGATGTAGCGTAAAAAAATACAAAAATCTTTTTTTACTTTTTTTTTTTTTGACAACTGTTTACTGTTTATAGGACTTGTACTGAATAGGCTTCAATGCTAAGATAAATGTAAGGTATATACCTTCAATTATATCTTAAAGAAAAAATTTACAATATTTTTCTTTTAATGATATAATTAAAATAATACTTATCAAATACTTGGAATTTTACGATTTCTTTCTTTTTTATAAGAGTGACTTGATTGCATAGTATGTTAAATGTCCAAGTAATGTATTTGTTCAATGATTTTGTAACTTCTTGTGCACTTTAACTGGTTGATTAATGCTACCTATCTACTGTTCTTTTAAACTGCATCTAGTGCGAATCATATTCATATGTTTTCAACTGCTTGATTTATTTTAAATGACGTACAGAATTCAAAATACAATTTTTCACTATTCAAATAACGTTTGCTTTCTGTTTGTTGAATCAAAATGATAAATAAAACGCATGATGTATGAGTTTAATGACAAATACATTTTTTACTTTTAACATGAAAAAAAAAATTGCTTACCTGCTCTCCTGCTTGTAGTTGAATAACATCCCATTTGTTTTGTAAGTTTTTCTTCATTTCGTTTAAAGCAGTCTAAAACAAAAATCCGAAGACAAAGTAAAAAAAAAATTCTGAACCTTATCATTAGTTTCTACAAGTAAAATAGACTTAAAATTCTTTTAACTTACTAGTTCATAGTCTTCTAAGCCATGACGTTGTTTATTCCTCAATGTTCTTTTTGACAAATAGATTGCATATTCAACATTATCAGGCTGCCGATGTTGCCATGGCCAATAATAAGGTGTCTGAAAAGCATAAGAAACTCACGTGTATAATAAAATAAGGTAATTTCAGAATGCATATAAGTATTTAATCAGAAAAAATACCTGAAACCTATAAAGTGAGCTGTCATCCTTCACTGTCAGAGTTCTGGAATCATTGACGGGGAAAAAATAACCGTACTGGCAAAGTTGGTTAGCGATGTGGACCGCCTCTACTGTCAACATAATTTTAAATTCTTACATGGTGAGTTGTATATCTAAAATACAGAAATGAAGAAATTTTTCTTGTGACTTGAGATTACTCTGTTAGAATATGTAGAGTCACTTTAGTTGTGAACATACCTAAGAACGTCATTTAAGAACGTTTCTTAAATAAGTTTGTAAATTCTAGTAAATTTTTCGAAACATTTAGTTTCTTACAAAAGAAATTCTATTATTTAAATCTATGTTACAATAACTATAGTACTGATACTTATAGTTGTAGACCATATTATTCAACACCAACATTAGCATTCTCAAGAAAAAATTTTATTTATCGTTTATTCAATCATAAAAATATATTTTAGAAGTTACAGTAAGTCAGCATATAAAGTGACAAAAGCGTCACAATTAAGTTTTTTCAAATAATTATATTTATGTTAGTTCTCGTTTTATTCATAAAATAAATAGTCGATAAGCTAACTAATACAATTAACAATATAAAAGTAGTAAGCCTGAAGATTAAATAATATAAGTGTGACTATTTTAATACCAATGTTTTGCTATTTTTAATATAGATTGAAGCTAATAATTAAAAGCAGTACTTATACAAAATTTGGCATCGTAATATGAGCTTAGAAATTCTTCAAAAAAGTTAAAAAATCTTGTACCTGATTCTTCAATGTTTAGACGTTCCATTAGCCACTCGATAAGGTCGTACCCTATAACAAAGAAAAAGATAATAAAATCATTTTTTCTGATTTTTTTCAATTACTTGATCTGAGGCAGAATCACAGCCATTTTTAAATTTTTGTACCAACCCATGAACGCTGCAGGAATTAAGGTGAGAAATACTTTTTGGCTACGAACAGGCACCCCATTGTCAGGGTCTTGCATCTCTCGCACCAACTCCTCCATCTGTTTCGTGTGAATAAATTTTCTCAGAGCATTTAAAAATATAAGTACAATTTAATTAATTTTTATAGTAAGGGATAAAATCATGGAGTAAATATGTTTTAAATAATACATCATCAATAAAGGTATCAGAAAAATTGTCTTTTCGAAGTATAAAAGAGTAAAAGTATACTAGTACTTATTAAATGAAGGTATATTATGAATACCTTATCAAAAGCACAAGGCCTGCGAGTGCGTTGTTCTTTTTCCTTGTATAGTTGTGTATTAGAGGCCTCCATCGTGTGTAAGTCTGCCTTCTGCGTCTTTGGCAGCAGCAGTAACGATGAAGATAATGGAGGGGGCTGGGGAGTTGGGTTGGAGGCGGGTTTACCCGAACTCCATGGGGCTCTGGCCCCATCCCATTACTCCAGTCACCCCCGCATGCCCACTAAAAAACTCAATAAAATTTAGTAATTAAAATAAAAAGAATTGACGTTTTCATTCTTTTGAATATAGGCTAAAAGGTGTATAAAATTATTAAGATAAAGAAAATNACTTTTTAAAATGGATGAAGAAAAGTATCAGCATGTGACTAATTACGTACGCATTTATAATTACATTTATACAAACTTTTTTTTAAACCACAAACATCGATAAAATACATCGTAAAACACATATTTTTATTTTGTTTGGCCAAAACTAGTTTTTGAATAATGCATATTTTTTTTATTTATAAAGGAAGAAAAGTACAATACTCACCATAAACAGCCACCCCAACATAAAAAACCATATAAACGACAAAAAAAACTAAACTCTTAAGGTTAGAAAATTTTTGATGCTCATCTAGAGTGGATATTGAATCTGTCCTCGCCATTGTAGCTGTAAATTTAAACAAATATTATTATGTTACATTTGAATATAATCAATTATTTGGTTTATTTGGAATAATTTTCACACAGTACTATAAACTTTGTTATTCGTTGTAAATTTCTTATACTGGAAGGAGGTAAAAATATGATTTCTTTAAAGTTATTAGAGGTCAGCTTTACAGGAGCTTCGATTTTATGTCTAGAAAAAACTATCTTGATTCTTAACGCTGATCAATCCCAAGTTTATCAGCAGCATTTGACTTAAATAATTGTACGATAAAAAACGAACTTACTTTGAGTGCGAAGTAGTATGTTGTTTTTCACCAAAATGAGATTTCAAACCAAATAAATTTATAAACGTTTATTTATCTAAAGCGTTAGAATCGAGGTCAGATTTATGACAAACGACTCCAACCATACATAAAGAAGTCAAATTTATCTAACATTTATTTAACTCAGTAAATATCAAAATTTATTTTCTACTACGCTATGGACTCTAACTTTATTCTGATGCACGATAAACTTATTATGTTCTAACTTGTACGGTTTGTTGGTTTATCTGCCTATTCGTAGCGAGATGGACGGAATATTGGAGGCAATTTTCCAGTTAGCTATATAAACCTCGCCTTGTAAAGCTCACAGAGCTAGAAATTGTTCCATCTATTAATAAATGACCATCTATCAATAAACAAAAGCCTTGTATTTAATGATTGGATCCAAATTCTAAATCAACGAGTAGTTCAGAAAATGTATGAATTAATGTTAAAGTTCCATTTATATTTTTAACGACTTTAGAGCTTTAAAACTCTTTACAACTTAAGGAATTTTATTTAACCTTTACATTGAAGTCGCTTTTTATGCGTACTGGTGTTAAGAATCTTGTAGTGCCAGTCAATGTTCCTTTAATACAGATAAGTCTACTTAAACCTTAACAAAAAAGTAAGTAATTGCTAGAAGCACTCTCACTGTCCGCCAGTTGACAAAGGGTCCCCCTCTCACTCTTTCTTTTTCTATTTATAGATTTCCGTGCTCATATTAGATTGTTTAGTTTTTGCTCTCAACTTTCAGTCTTACCATATTAACACTTCAATTTTTAGCTCATTTTCAGAAGTTTGTACCAGTTTGTGTATTATAAATATTCGTGTTTCTCAATGTAAAGAAAAAACAGGAAAATATAAATATCTTTAATAACACAGTAGTATAAAATAATCAATGCTTTTTACTGATAGAATGGATAGCAGAGCTGTGCGGAACATGTATGGACGATTTAAGTTGGAGAGAGTGAGATATACTTAGCCAAAGTTCAGGCGTTTACTAAAGGTCTCAGTGATTTGGGGCTCAAAAATTCATTTGTAATGTTTTTTGTATTAATGGCACAAATAGTTCAACGTAAAGTCGTTATTTTTATTTATCATCCTTAAAAAAATATAATAAACAAATCAGTAATCATTTATCGTTAGCGTTAAAATCTTTGAATAAGTTACTGTATTCCAATTAAAAAAAAGAATTAGAGCTCAAAAAACTACAGTTGTATAACATGAAAGTTTAAAAAACATTTTAATAATCATGTTGTAATAAATAACATGTTAAATAGTACATTATAATGAGATAACCTATAAGTATTCTGGTTTATTAAGAAAATACACGGCAACAAGCTTAAGAACTGTAGTATAAATAAGAAACACATTACTACAGTAACAGTTGTGTTTTCTAAAACTAAAAGTGTTTTTGTGTTTTAGGATCTTGCATTATATTAAATTGTAAATTTTTTACGATTAAAGACAAAACATTTTTAATAAGGGTAGTAAAACTTATTAATAAAAAAAGTACCTGATTAGTAGATTCTTAAAAACTTTTTTTTCATTGCAGTACGTCGATTTTTCGTTGTTAAACATAAAAAAATTATCGTTTAAGGCTTAAGTACTATTACAGTTTACTAGATAAGTATCGTCAAAAAATTGTTGCTTAATATTTACACTATTATACGTGTGCAGTGCCAAATTTATATACTTATAATCTGCTTCTTACGAAACAAGTATGTATAACATACTGCGGGAGCAAGAGTCTTTATACTGTTGATGCATTTAACATAAAATATGGCTACAGCTTTTTACCCTACCGTGTTGTATAAGCTCCAAGCCCATTTTCATTTAGTATAGCATAAAAAATATGAAAAAATGAATTGAAAGTTACAGTTCAATTTAGGCAATCACTACCAGAATACCACAATTGTTTTTGATGTCTGGATGTGGTATACCAATATAAGCATACTAGAAGCATCGTATCTGCGGAAAATGCAGCTTAGTTTGAAGGAAAAACCATCATACATGGGGATCATTCTATTAAAAACGCTATACTTCATGTCCCAGTTGATTACAACGTCATTTAAGAAGTTGTTATTGTAAAAACTTTTTAAACAGTTTAGGGATATTATCTGCTAAGGGCATAATTAGAATTCAGATCATGATAAGCGTTACTTAAGTTTAAAATAAGAACAGGGGTTTAATTTGTGATACGGGCATGTCTCCCTCATAATTTTATAGTTTTTACGACGTCTGGAACTAAAATACGGATTTCTAATTTTTCTGAGGTATAGAATCTCAAAGTAAATAATTCACACAAGATCTGAAATCAAAGTCTGCCAAATTTAACATTGCAACAGAAAATGTACTTTCAAATGTACGCAATTAGAATTAGGTGTTCGAAATTAGACGTTCCATGTTTAACAGAGGTACAGAATGTTGTATAAAATGTTTTCCAATTTTTCTATGACAATAAGCCAGCGCTACAGTCTTGTGGACTATTAAATTTGATCTCCATAAAATAAGAATCTAAAAGCCCGTAACGCTAAAGAAAGTCATTTATCTTTTTAAAGCGTTTGCTTGTTGACTCCGAAGGTGATGGGTTGAAAGATAGCTGTTTTTGTATAATATCAGTGCCATGGAAAATTTTCATTTTCATTTGGTGCGTTACAACATCGATTTTTGATTGTATTTATTAAAGCCATAACGCTTCTTTTTTAACAGCCCATAACTCCTAGGAGTGTCGTGCATCGTTTTAAAGCGTTCAATTGCTGACTTAGAGGGTAATGGATCAATCAACGCTGTAAAGTACACAATATAAGTGCGAGGATAAGGTTAAGCTCTCATTTGTTGCGTCACAAAAGGAAACTGGTTAGAAAAAACGAGCCAAAAATAGTTTTCATTAACGCTGCTTCTGTTAAATCTGATAAAATTTTTGTAAAAAATTATAAGGTACAGTTAACCTGCTTTTTTTTAAATTTTAAATTATTCGGTTCTTGTTTATTAGTATGAAATACTTACTGCGAACTTTTTGTCTTATGACGAAAGTTAGCAAGAAGTTAGTGCTACGCAGCTAAATGGAAAAATTTATAGTTTAAAGTAATACAGTATAAAAAGTATAGTAAGTAGAACTATAATGTTAATTTTTAAGTCGATGACATATAACTTTTGTTATTTTTATTTCTGAGTAAACATTCGACGTTGTTTACTTCTTGCTTGGAAAGGGTTGTTAATATACAACCGAAATGTTGTACACACTTTGGACCAAGAATAAACTTTTCGACAGTATGCCATAAAATTCATTTACATTATTAAAATTTATAGTTGTTTTCTTCTAACATTTTTTTTTGTGCAGAAAAAAAGTCAAACAAGATACTTTACAGGTAGTTTAATGGATTAATATGATCCCTAACTTTAATATTTTAAGAATTGACTAGTTTCGCTTCAAAAATTTTACCTTGTTAATTAGTCACAATATTGGATTCTCCATTCCGAATTTCGTTTATTTGAATCTAGTGTCATACTAAGCTAACATGTGTATTATTTAACATTGTTGTGCCAATTTATTAAGTATATTGTTCTGAAAACTTTCTATCTATAAAAAAAATGTTTATTTTATCACTTTTACTAATTCCAGTAATAGTGGTCAAAAGTTTAAAAAAAGTTATATAAGCACATTGAAGCTAACCTAAAATAGATAACATATGACATTTTTGTCCTATAAAACTTGACGTAGAATTTAAATCTTCACTTGTTTTTAGCTGCATCTTAAATATGATAATGTATAAAGCACTTTTACGTCAATTAAGGGCTATTTTTTGACGATTTTTTGCGTTCCAATTTTGCTCTAAGCTCACTTAGACTCTTAAAACTAAATAAAAATGGCAATCCCACCTTGTATCATAATTTATATTGAGTATAACGTATGGAACACTTTTACAGCTATGAACTGCTGTTTTTTGGTGATTTTTACAATCAAATTTTTTCTCTTAGCTCGAAATATCTCTGCAACCGACGAAAAAAGTCGGAAATTAAAATATACGTGTTTTTTTGGTACTTTTCACTAATTACGAAGAAGGAAGATAAAAAAAGACCCAGTGTAAGTTGAAAATCTTACCTAATAACTCTTATAAGATCTCAAATAAAATTTCAGATTTGATTTTGGACTTGGGTGAGACTCGATAACAGACAGTTACTCATTTAATCTGCATGCTCATATACGAATCCAAAGTAGGAACTAAGCATTAAAAAATGAGTATTTAACAAGGGTGTATTTT